CTCTCCTTGGGTATGTACTTGCATTTCAAAATGTGCCCGAACAATGAGGTAGATGTCCCATCGTATCAGCGACGACTTTGGGCGACGGACGGCGGAAAGCGAAACTCGAGAAACGCGAAAGTGCTTGGATTTGCCTTGTGGTACGGTTGCGGGAGAGGGCGTAGTTGGGTGATGGGGCCGAATTGGGAGAAGTAGGCACGCATTTCGTGTTCGTAGAACCCGTGCGGAACACGGCTATTGAACGGCTTGTTAGTAGATTATTCTCTATTCGTCGGCTGGTTGCATATGCAACTTACCCAACGTAAACGGTGCCTGGCTCTTCCAATTCCGTGGCGTTCTTCTTCATCTTGCGCAGCTTCCTCTTCACCTTCTTCGAATCGGGGATCGCTGGGACGTTCTTCCCGGGTTCGAACCCGTCGTCCCCGGATATGTCTTCGTCGTCACTGCTTTCAAACCCCTGAATGAAAGCAGCAGTCTGGTCGTCATCTTCTTCCCCTTCGCTTCCCTCCTCATCATCCTCGGCGATTTGGCTGAAGACTCCCTCAAGCAGACCAGTAACACCTTTGGTCTTTTTGCTAGATTTGCCGGTACTCAAAGGCTTTTCTCCGGAATCGGGTTTCGTAGTAGTGATCTTAGCGACAGAAGGAACCGCTGATTCAGGAGCTTCAGCCGCCCTTTTTGGCTTGTTCTTGCTTGGTTTTTCCGCCTCGCCACCCATAGGTCTTGAGGCTGCGGGTGAAGCTGTGACGTGGGTTTTCTCTGTTTTCTCGCCATGGCATTCTTCTCCTTCGTCTTCGCTCAGAAAGTCCGCAGCACGTTTTCGAGGTAGGATCTGTCTCGCGGGCTCGCTAGCAACTTTGACAGGAATTGACTTGGGTGAAGAGCCATTGGAGACCTCTGTGGATTTTGCCTTCTTCAGTATTGGCTTGGGGACTTTATCCTGGACCTGAGCTGCTTTAAATGTCGACCTTTTGGATTTCTTCAAGGGCGGGTCCGTAATCGTTAGGGCAGAGGCTATGGCAACTACGCAAGAAGGAAATTTGCCAAGTCAGCTAAAAATATTTTGAACAAAAGTACGAGGATAGTAACCAGCAAACTAACCCTTGCGCTTGTTAGCATTCTTCTCTACAGTCATTATGTCAAGCGGAGGGGAAATCGGACTTGCTTGAAACCTTTGAAATATTTCAGCAAGATAATTTTTTCGCGGACATTTAAGTTAGTTCCTCAGGTGACTTACCTGACCTAGGTATACCGTATCATGGGGAATTGCCTTCCATGGTTTAGTGCTATTCTGATCAGGTTTAGCGCAACATTGCCGCTTTCTGGACTATATAAATCCCCTCCTCCCGCCGCTCGAACATCCTCTCTCCATCGTCCCTATTTTCCCTTTCTTTCCTCATAATTCTCTTGTCTCATGTGTGCCGTGCCCATCCCCTCTTTCCCCTTGAGCCCCACTGCTAATGTCACCTGGCCCGGCTGTGCCGCAGCTGAAACTGTTCTCAACATGATGACCATGTCCACTTTCCCTTCTTCCCAGATGCAATTTCGCCTCACTCTACCATCAAGTTACTCTAAAACCATGCACAGACTGAGGCCTGCTACTGAGATATCTAGTCTGCTCAGGACTGTGGCTGGCTGAGGTTTTCTGTTCACTTTGTTGATCTCATTTTCTTGTTGCATACACAATGAGCTATTGCTCTACATTCTATATTTGATGTTTTGAGGTTCTGCACATCTATTCTATCAACACTGCCAATCCCATCCTGTCTGTGCCTTGGTGCTTGTTGTCCTTAATCTCTCCCTTTCACAATCAGTCGGCAAAGCCGATGTTTCTCACCTGTGGTGCACGCCGGTGATGGGCGGCTTCCACTCATTGAGATGGTACGCCAATGAACAAAAAAGCCTCCACATGGCAGAAACGGCATCTGCCTTGCTGCACCGCAGACCATTACACATCAGACCCTGACCAGAGTGCAAGGTCTGAAAGGTCTGGTTGGTTGCAAGGGTGACATGTTCAGATGAAGAAAAAAATCTCCTCAACAATTCAAGTCTCACAGTGTGGCTGATGCATGATGTGGACATGATTCAAACTGCTCCAGTGCAGGTGAATTCTCAGTCACACTATGTTTTCTCTTGATTAGTAGCAAGATACTGAGTTGACAAAGATGAATGTTCACTGGAAAAGAGACTTCAGCCTCAGCCTCCTGGGGTCTCAAATTGACCAGAAGAGAAAGGGGCGATGTGACAGTGTGATGCAATGTTCAAGGTTTCTCATTTTCACAATCCACACTTGGATGAATTAACAGGCTAATTCACTATTGGAAATTCATGTTCATGTTATAAGACTGTGTATTGGAGCAGTTATGGTCATATGACAATCATCTAGCACCTCTTCAGTCAGTGCTACAGTTTAGAAAATAAAAAGTGAGAGGGGCTATGATCTTCCCTTGCTTTCTGCATGGACGGCGGCTGGCGTTGCAAGGTGATAGGTGACACTCATTTTCCTGCCTTATTTTACCCAGGATTTGGCCGACTTTATCTCCATGATGCAGGCGTCAATGTTCCTGCACCATGGTGATTTTTCCTGCAGGGAAAATGTGATGGAAGTGAGCACGTAGAATGGCACCAGCAGGATTTCTCTCATTCACCTGTGTTGAGATTGTTGTAAACATAAAAGGTGCTGAATTCCCAATCAAAAATGTCACTATAAAAAAAATACCAGAACACTATGAGCACAGCAAACACACCTCATATCCCATCATTGCAAGCAGCAATTCCAACTCTCCACTGACAATGACACCCTCTGCGGCACGCGAGATTCCAGGTAGGTACAACGGGCCCTGAGTTGTCGGTCCAAAATCTGATTAGTATTCGAACAAGAATCCTTGGCAGCGAGCTTCTATGATTTCCAGAGGTTGCCTAGATCAAGTCCTCTGACTATGAATCAACTTCTGTCATGATTTGTCCGCCTGAGCCTTCCTCACTCGGCTGATGATGAATCTGAATCATCACTGGACAACCTGATTGATCTGGATGATAGAACAGATGAAAAACATGACATGGAACCTCTCAGTGAAGATTGAGAAATATCACACCTCGGAGGCGACACCGAGCGTGAGTGTGATAGTGAAACTGGTGATGGAAGGAACAGGGGAGGCAACGTCAATTCAGGACTTGGAAGGGGAGTCGCAGATGCAGCCACAGTCGGGGCCACATCCGGCAGAACCCACCCCAGCCAGAATCAGAGCCAGAGGCCAAAGGCAGTAAATGCATGGCGGAACGTGAAGTTTCTTCTGGATGCTGTGGGGTTGCAGAGGGCAT